TTATCTGTTCTTTTTTCTTTCTTATTTCAGTGCTGTGAGCTGGCATGTAGAGAGGTATGCCATGAAGAAGAATGCTATGAAGTAGAAGAAAGAGGCAGGGGATGTGCGGAAGGACAATCTTCAGAGCATGATGGGAAAAGGGAGGGAAACCCTCGATGTCTCTAGGGGAAAGAAGAGCCAGACAAGCCAGTGGGAAAACCAGCAGCACCACATGGATGCTAGCTGTGAGAAGTTGTTGGTAAGCAACATGTACTCATTCTGGGAGAAAGTAAGGGGGAAAAGTACAGGGAGAGGGAGAGAGAGGGGGAGACTGTTCATATGTGTCTTTCCATCTTTATGACTCTTCAAGGCAGTTATTATTAACTTTTTACCTTTTACAAAATGATGCTCCAAGTCACTCATGCACTTAGAGGCAGAGTTGGAATTCATATCTACATCCTTATGTCTTTAAGTTCTACGTTCATCATATTTATTTTCTTCAGGAGGCTGAGGGTGGGAGAGAGATCCTTTCAGACCTGGAGTCACCATGGAGGAAATGCTCCAGTTTCCCTCCCTCTGTGTCTGTTGTAGTGTTCCCACTCTGTCTGAATGTAGGGTGGCCATCATATCACCTGCTAGAGCTAATGAATTGTAGAAACCATGATGTGTCATGACAGGAAACATGTGACCAGAGCAAGGGTTGCCACATCCCTTTTTTCTGTGGCAGTGACTGTGTAAGAGTCCCCGAATCACCACAGCAACTGCTTTTAGCTCTTGCTGATGCCATTGACACGTAACATTAACTTAGCAGTGGGTAAACACTCATTGTGGGTTTTGATACTGCCACATGATCTACCTTGTGATGACTAATACAAAGTCTCAGTCTACAGTGACAGCAGATTTTATGATGGGTCTCCAAGAATGTGACTGCTAAGAAGTCTAATCTGAGTAGCAACCACACACATTGAATGCATAACATGTTCACTAAGACTTTGTATATTAATAGTTAGTACAACAATCTACAAGTAAATAGAGCCAAAAATATATTCCCTCTTGAACTGAAATGTGTTAGAGTACAAGAAAAATCTTCCACAGGGACAAATGGTTTCTAGGGGAATAGGTGGCAGGCGATAATGATATTAAAAGTAGCTTCAAGTTAAAAAGCAGCCCATCATAGAAATTAGGGTGAAGGCTACTGCTTTTGGTTCAGAAAAGCAATACTTTTCAATATTCATTCAATAAAAGTCATTAATTACGTAATACACACAGGAAAGGATAAAGTATCATGTGCATACAGTCGGTGCACATTTATTTCCCTTTCTTATTTATTCTTTGATAATTTCATACAGTATATTTTTATCATATTCTTTCCCATCCTCTAACTCCTCCCAGATCCACCCCCACAGCTCATCCCACATCATGTTCTTTCTCTTTAAAAGAATTAAATTAAAAAAAAACTAAACAATATGGAGTTTGTTTTGTCTTGGTCAAATATTCCCAGCCATGGGGTCTGCCCTGGAGTGTGGTTGAGATGCCCCGTGTCACTCCGTTGAAGAAAATGGATTTTCCCTCTCCCAGAAGCTATTCTTTGCAAATACTTCCTGGCGAGGGGTGGGACTAAGTGCCCACATCCTGTGTTTGTGCTGTGATTTTGTCTGGCTTGAGTTGCGCAGGGCTTGTGCATGCTGTTGCAGTGTCTGTGAGGTCATGTGTGTCTCCCCTGTTGTGTCTGGAAAAGGCTATTTCCTTGTGCACATGTTTTATACACCACCTTGACTAAGAAATCTAAAAAGACATAATTTGTCCTATATTATATGTTCTGTAGTATATGTCCTAGGCTACTTTTCCAATATATTTACCTCCATTACATCTAAGAAAGATGTTCCAGGCATACCAAACTGCTCAGAATTTCCCAATTAATTTTTCAGCACCTACATTTAATCTCATAATCTCCACCTACTTTCTCCATGAAAATTTCTGGCTTCCTCCTCTGTATTCTCAAGCTACATTCTACATTCTCTCCATAAGCATTTATATATTTCAGTATACCATGTTTGTGCTAGGATTTTAATGGACTGTAAACCCCCAGATGAAAGGACCAATATTTTATTTACCTTGCTACCCACAAAGCATACCTGTGCATGATCAATGAATATTTGCTAGACAGTTGCATGAATGAATGAATGAAATAAAAAATAAACTTGAAGCTTCTTGGAGAGACAGCCCATATTCTATTTTTTTACAAGCAAAAGAATATTTACTGAATGAATAAGTGATCCTGTATAAAATCATAGTTACTCAGAATGGTAAGTACTCAGAATATGCATGAACTTTCCCTATGTTTTATAAATAATTTATTTGTAGCAAAAAATTAAGCTTTGAGATACAGAGTAAGATCTGCACATATATACTCATAACCAATTGTGGTTTTTGTTAGTGACTAACAAAGCTGAGATTGTATCTGGTCAGTCATTGACGATAGCTAAGGAAGAAATGGAAGAGTATGCTTGTAAAGTAAATGGAAGAGTAGCTCACAATGTGAATATAACAGAGTTAGGGGTCTACTATGGGCATTATCCTGTATTTCTGAATTTAAAATTAGGGATTATAGCTACCTCTTCTTTTGTTTCCCATCAGAAGCTGAACTCAGTCTCTTACTTTCTTTAAGTGACCTCCGTAGTAGTCATCATAGGCTGATATTTATCAGAGCCTTTCATTATTGTTTACAAAACTATCAATATCAAACAACTATCTCCACAATCATACTTTAACCTAGACTGAATTTATATCTTAATGTGAGACAATAGACAGGAAATTTACAGTTAAGACCTTGGGTCTGTCAATGACATAATGACATGTTCAGTTCTTGATAAGAATTCAGAGCTCTGCCATACTCATACTGTTTTTGGCTGTGCTGTACCATTTCAAACCAGAGATGCTGTTAATGCAGATATGGTTTCTTGAATGTTAGGAACTGGTCAGTCTCTCTCTCACACGTCTCACTGCCAAACTTGGTTAAATGATAAACTGGATTCAAATTGTGACCATGAGCATGGTCACATCCTAGGGAATGCCTGAAGAAGCAATTCTGGTGTCAGGAGACAGTTGGCCTCAGAATGCTGTACGCTGTGGTCACATCTCAAACATTAGAATCAGAACTTAGGACCACAGACTTTGGCTCTGCACCATGCCATCCTGGAATGGCCAGTGAATGCCCAGATAGACTTCTTGAATTTAATTTGTCCAGGACTTCACCTAAGTCTCTCTGGGTCCTTTATATGCACATATTGTCTGAGAGGAATCCTGCCTATTCATGTACTTACAGCTTGAGCACCTTTGTTGAATTTTCTAGTCTATGAACTAACCAAAAGGCTTTGTTATTTTTCCTTTAGCTTTCATTATGAGTAATGATAAAAGTTAACAAAATTTGGGCCTATGATACCTTATATTAATATAGTAATGTGTAATACAATTTGATCCATTCTTGCCATTTCTTCCTGATAATATGTTAAATGTAAAAATCACTATATAAAATAAGAATAGTAAAATATAAGTACAGGGAAAAGAGTGAGTATAGAACTATTATCAAATGAACTCCAAATTGATCCTGCTGGAAATAGAGGCTGAATGAGAGAACTTTTACGTGAGATGGGCTCATCTTTCACCCTTATAATGAATGATAACCCCAAGGTTACTCAGTGACCCACTCATACAATTGATCATGATGACCAATCATCCCCGCCATCACTCATCTCTCTCATTAAGTAGGATAAAGGAAGCCAGGAAGAACAAGAAGAAGTCAGGAAGCCTGTATAAGAATCCACTGGTGGCATGCACGAGAGCATGGCTGTTATCTCAACATCAGACACACTTGTACATCTCACAAACATCTAGTAAATGTGGTAAGCTAATCTGACCAAGAGCAAGGGGGAACAGAATCCATCTTACCTTAGACCAAGCTTCTTCAGTGACAGCCATGAATATGCTCTGAGTTGCTTTTCAAAGCACTTTGCGTTTTGAAGAGGAATAAAGATGAGAAATAAGCCCCTCGCCCCCAAATCAGAATACAAAATGGAATACCCTACCCACTTCCTGGAGCTCAGTGGCCCCTGAGTATTAGTGGAGCCAGGAAGCCTTTCTCTGTCGCCACTTTGCCCAGCATTTCAAGGTGGTCAGGTTGTAGTCTCACCAGGCAGCTTTACCCACAAGCACCTCAACTTTCTTTTGCTGAAGGCTGTGCCTTGTGTGTATGTGGTAGGTGGGAACAAGAAGCCTTTCCAGCAAAATTGAAACACATTCAGTTACAGCCCGATATTTAAGACCTACTACGGGCTAGATCACAAAGTAATCTTATTTATAGTCTAGTTGGCCAACTAAGACAATTACGTATGCTCTTTAATATTGGGCGGCAGGATAGCAAAACAGCAAATAGTTTAAGAAAAGACAACAATCTTGCCTCTTTTCCCTTGTCTGAACAATGAATCAGAGGAATAGAAAGCGAAAAGCACCCTAGAATAAACATCCTTAGGAGGGATTCCTGGGTGGAACTCAGGACAGGGTCGGTGGCTGCCCATTCTCCTGCTCTGGGTACCTGCAAGGGGAGCCTTGTCCAATACGATGACTTTGACCTTCTCTAACCATCTAGCCACTAAACAAGACCCACCGAACTGAAGTGCTTCAGCAGAACGTTCTCCCCAGGAAAATAAACCAGCAGGGAAAACGAAGGACATTAAGAAACAGACCCAGTCATTGGAACCTGATGCCAAACCCGAGTGAGCCCGTGGGACCAGACATCTGGCCAAGTAAAGCGCACAGGCATAGTCCTGGTCTTCAACAAGACGTTCCTGAGAATGAACGTGTCTCTCTGCTCTCAGGAGGAGGGCACATTGCTTATTATTCCGTCTTAACGGGAATTCAAACATTTTCCCATAATGCGCGAACCTTTCTCTCGCCTGGGAGGCGCAGGGCTGCAGGCAGTCTCGCATCCTGGGAAAGCGAAGGGTTGAGGGTGCGTTACTTACCCAGAAGAAAGCTCCTCCCGGGAACCCAAGTGTTCAGCGCCGGGCAAAACTTATCCGAATTTGCAGCCACCCGAAGACAAGAGAGACGACTCAAGGGAATACAGCACAGAGCAATGCCAGCCGTCAATGTGCGCGTGGCGACTCCCCAGAAAGGAACAGATGACCCTAGAAATAAAGAAAAGCTCACACACACCGCAAAACCCACACAAAAGGCACCAGAAACGTATTACAAAGTGTACACTGTCGGCAGGGGAATCAACCTTAGCAGCGGCAGACTGGAGGGCAGACTTTCCTGACTCCTTGTGCAGGGAACCCGGCAGATCATCCCTGGGTCAAGGGCATTGCCTGCCGGGCCCCAGGTGGATCCAGCTGTAGCTGGCTGAGTGTCCCTAAGACCCTGAGAGCTGGGCTGCAGGGCCTGTTTCAGGACCCTAAGGATGCGTCCAGCTACGAGAAGGAAAGATTCGGAGGTGTTCCACAGCAAGGAGCCAAATCTTAAGTAGTCCCAGGAGAGTCTGGGATAAAGAATCCTGAAGCTAAGGGATCCCACTGCCGCCCTAGGCGGGGCGTCCGGCGACCCTCTCTGGGGACGAGCCCTCTGCCATTGCTCCTCGCCCCGTACGTCTCAGTTCCCCACTCCTGTGCCCAGGCTCACTGACATGCGGATCTGGACTCTGGCGTTGGGGTGGGGCGGCGGCCCTGCCTTGGCGATGCGCGCCCGCACGGCGGTCCCAGGGAATGCACCTAGGGGACGCGGTGCGCGATCAGAGCGCACGGGCGACGGGCGCAGTGGGAGTGGGCACCCGGCTGACTGTGCCCGGCTCTGCAGCGTCCCTCCGCCCTCAGGGGCCGCGCGACCAATGGCTGAGAGCCGGGCCCACTCCCAGCTGCCCGCCGGGGCGCTCAAGCGCTAGGACAGCGCCAAGCTCTGCCGAGGGAGGAGCTTACACCGTGGTTGGAGGATGTGGAGGCGTTGGCGCGGGGAGCCCCATCTGGGCAAGGCAGGTGTGGTGCGGTGAACTTTTGTGGGGGTATGTGGTGGGGCTGAGATTTCTTTTAGGCGCAGGGGAGAGCATCCCCTTCCATCCAAAGTTTCTCCTTTTACGTCTTTATGAGTCCTGTGTAGCCCCTACTCCCAAAGGCGAGCTGCGTGGGGCCATCGCCTCCTCCTATGACGAATTTCACCTTAGACACCCCTCCCCCAGTTCAGCCTTTCTCCTTAACGCCCTCTCAGTCCTCTGAGAAACCATCAAATGAATGAATAGGACCACGGTTTCTATGACTGCTAGTCACAGATAATCATAAGTCTCCACGAACAACTGTCACAATCATATAAAGGAATTCGGGAACGGGAGCCTTCCACGCCTGGGCTTCTTCAGATATTTCAGCCGAGATGGGTTCCTTTTACTCAGCCATTCAAAGACCCAATTGGCTGGTCTATGTATGTGGGTTGAAGCACTTTGTCCTGGGAAGTGTTGGTCACTTTTTATTGATGGATTTCCACCTTGAGACCCATTTTTCTTTGGCTGGAAAGCAGATCAACAGAGTACCGGGATGCCGAAGTCTCTATGACCACGTGCACATCCCGCTGTTCAACAGTGCCCAGCTCCTGGACCACACGATTTCTGTCCATGTTCATTGGTTTTCCAGGTAGAGGCAGGCAGGGAGCTAAACTCTGAGGTACCATTGTGAGTAAAGACCATGCTGTATTTCTTCTCTTCCCTATCCAGGGCTTGTGAGACTTTTTTACATGGGTCTGCATGTGCCTCATCTAAAATGCAAGAGTGGGGCTGAATATATAGACCAGTTGGCAGAATGCTTGCCTAGGCAGAGAAGATTCTGGATTTCATTTCTAGTACCACATAAATTCGGCATGGTGGTACATGCCTATGTGCTCTCAACACTCCAAAGGTGGAGGCAGAGGATCAGAAGTCCAAGGCCGTCTTTAGCTACCTAGCCAATCTTGGCTATCTGAGACTCCATCTCATTTAAAACAAAATAAAAATGCAGGAGGGCTTAATGAGCAGTGTTGTCAAGCAGGCAAGTTCAAGGAGGCTTCTCTCCCAGCATTTGTGCTCCAGAGCTCACCCACTTCCTGTTTGTTTGCTTGCTTTTGAGACAAGGTCTCACTATGCAACCCTGGACTGGGACGCCCTGTGTATTCTAGACCAACCTCAAATTTATGATTCTTCTGCCTCAGCATCCCAAGTGCTGGGATTACTGATGTGTGCCACCATGTCAGGTTGGCAAACCTCCCCCATTTTTCCATTTGCCACTTCCAGAGTTCTGTTACATCATCTACCCCTGTGCTGGTTGGTTTCTTTGTCATGTTGACAGAAACTAGAGCCACCTGAGGAGAGGGAACCTCAACTGAGAAAATGGCTTCATCAGGTCTGCCCACGTGAAAGTCTATGGGGGCATTTTCCTGATTAATTGTTGATGTGAAAGGACCCAGTCCACGGCGGGCAGTGCCAACCCTGAGTAGGCGATTGTAGACAAAATTCTAAACAGTCTTAGTGAGTAAGATACACAGAGCCAAATACAGAGGTAAATAGCCAAAGAGATCAGAGAGTCAGGACTACCTTATCTTACCACCTCACTGCAGTCACTTCCCCAGAGAGTTTCTTCCTTTTGACTTGCGTTTTTATTGCCTTTCTGTTCTGCCCTCTCATTGGCTCTAAACCCAACCACATGACCTCCTCGTCACTGCCTGTTTATACAGACCTCCAGGTCTCTATGGTTGGTACTGGGATTAAAGGCTCATGTCACCACGCTTGGCTGTGTCCTTGACCACACAGAGACTCTGCCTGCCATGTGATCAGATTAAGGGCATGGGCTACCACCCCTGACTTCTGTCCCTGGCTCGCTATGACCTCTGATCTCCAGGCAAACTTTATTTATTAACATACAAATAAAACCACATTTCAGCACAAATAAAGTATCACCACAGGCAATCCTGGGTTATATAAAGAGGATAGGCTGAGCAAGCCAATAACCAGTGTTCCTCCATGGTCTGCGTCAGTTCAGCCTCCAGGTTCTTGTCTGAGTTCCTGCCCTGACTTCCCTCCATGATAGACTGTAACCTGTAAGTCAAATAAATCCTTTTCTCCCCTAGTCATGATGGTCATGATGTCTGTCACAGCAGCAGAGAAACAGACTAGAACCGCCTCCTGCTCACTATTTGGTAAATTCTACCTTGCATTTTCGCTAATCCTCTTCCTGAGCAATCATATTCATTACACTGGGTTGTTATATACAGGACTGTTTTATCATTGAAAGAGAAGTTCTCTATGCCTCCTAAAATCATGTCATGGCCAGTTGACTTTTACTTAGGAAACTCTGAGAACTCAGAGAGTTGAGCCTGTCACCCTTTGGGACAGTTGTTCTCAAACATCTGTGTCTAAGATCTCTAGCCCTAGCCCCATAGTCTGCTTCCACACTCCATGTGGTTCTAGTTCAGGGTCTCCATTGAGAATCCTGCAGAGGCCCTATGAGTTTCAGAGAGAGGTGGAGGAAGGCTGGTTGCTGCCTGGGCTCTCCCCCCCCTCCCCCACCCCCCCCCCCCCGCTAGATTGGCATAAGCTGGCTTCTTTCCTCATGATGGCTTTAAACAAGGAGACATCAAATTGTCACTTGGTCCCTTTTGGAAGCTCTGAGAAAAATTGTTGCATGCCTTTTCCCCTAGATTCTGGCTACCCTTGTGGCTCTCAGCTTGTAGGCAGATGGATCACCCCGGTTGCCACCCATCTTCATCTTCTCTACGTGTTTCTTCTCTTCTGAGTTTCATTAGTTCCAAGTTCCACCTCAGTCTAGCAAAACATTTGAGAGTCTTAACTAGACCTTCAGATGTCCCCCAAGCACACATTCATAGGTTCTAGTTATACATATATTTTGGGGGCAAGACCACTCACTGCATTATAGATGGTTAGTGATTATCCAAGTTCTTTGCTTCAGGGCTAGGATTTCTTGCCTTCCCAGTTTGACATCAGATAAATTCTAGTGATGTTAGGTTTTTAGCTCATTATCGAAGTCAATTTGCTAACAGTACACAAGAAAAGAAAGGGATACTCAAACATGGCCTAGAGAGCACATGTCAGTGTGTTTGGGGATCTTTTTATTTTTTCAGTTGTGTATAACTCTTCATTACCCCCTTTATTTGAATTAAAATTGATTAATAATTGTACCCTCTATTTTAAATGATATGAAACTCCCCTATTGCCTCCTACAGCAGTGAAGAACTTGGTAGATGGCTGGTATGGGAATCAATGCTCCTGCTCCTCCTTTCCTCCTCCTCCTCCTCCTCCTCCTCCTCCTCCTCGTCCTCCTTCTCCTCCTCCTCCTCCTCCTCGTCCTCCTCCTCCTCGTCCTCCTCCTCCTCCTCTTCTTCTCTCATGTACAAATATCTAGGGAATATTGATCATCAAGTTTACTTACAGGTGTCTTCTTTGGATACTGGCAAGGCAGAACCTGAAGGGTATTCACATGCAGACTCTGGAGACATAGCTTCTGGTGAGCTTGAGGGCTAGTCTTTCACCCAATTCAGTGTTATTTGGGGAGAAATGGGTATTGAAAACATGTGGAATTTGGAATAATAGAGAATCATTAAAATCTGACATGGACAATTAATATGTGTGTGATGGTGATGTAACTCAATTATGTAAACTCTTGGAGTCTCATTTCTTAATCTACAAACTGGATAGAGCAGTATCTATTTTATAAAATTGTGGTCAGGGATGTTTAATGTACACACTTGAAAAATGGTACCAATGTACCTGGTTCTTAGCTACAGGTCAGAATATAGTGCACACTTAAAATATTATCTCTGGGGGCTGGGGAAATGGCTCAATGGTTAAGAGCATTGGCTGTTCTTGCAGAGGCCCTGGGTTCAATTCCTAGCACCTCGATCTGTAACTTCAGGGGATCTGATGCCCTCTCTTCCAGCCTTTATGGGGACTGCACACATGTAGCACACACACATATGTGCAGACAAAACACTCATATATGTAAAATAAAAGCTTTGAAAAAAATTTTACCTTTTCTTCCTTATGACCATGAAAGCAACCTTCAAAATTCCTTTGTCCATTCACTAATATTCTTCTAGGTTGTCAGACTCTTACAGGTCCTGTTGTATTCTGACTCGGTCCCCCATTTGATGCACCTCCCCCACATCTACCTTCCCTTTCCTGCTTCCACCCTTCAGTCTTCAAGCAGTTGTCTCACCTACCCCAAGTTCAGAAATCGGTGCTCTCTGAAAGAATGTTGGGGAACCATAACTATAAAAAAATTATAGATCATAATAATTTTTTTTCTTTTTTTTTTTAAATGTTTGTTTATTAGGTATTCAGTGTTCTGTCTGCATGTTTGCCTGCCCGCCAGTAGAGGGCACCAGATCTCATTATAGATGGTTGTGAGCCACCATGTGGGTGCTGGGAATTGAACTCAGGACCTCTGGAAGAGCAGCCAGTGCTCTTAACCTCTGAGCCATCTCTCCAGCCCCAAGATCATAATAATTTTTATGATGTGTCAATGTGTCTTTTCTGTTGTTTAAATCATGATATTCCCCAAAGCATGGAGAAATTTGTGGTGTCTGATGTTACAGAAAAATTCCTGCTCTACGAATTCTATTAAATCC